AACAGCCCTTCGACGCTCCTTTGTAAATTCTCTATCCAGTTGACTGGTGGAACGCTTCCACTCAATGACGCGATCAGCCAAGGGAACGGCTAATCCATCAGAGAGGTGACTTTCATGAAAAAAAAGGAAAAAAATTTCAAGTATAAAAAGAAGAACACCGAGTTCTCCAAATGAAGTAATATAATTTGGCGATGTGAACAAAATATGTCAGGTAGCAGTTAAAAGAGTAAATAATCAATTTGTTTTAACTTTTTCCAAAAATAATATATGCATTGAGATCTTAAAAAATAATGCAAAAACAAAGTACTGAAAAATCAATCAAGTAAAATATGTATATAGTATTTATACATAAAAACGAATAAACACCTGTTAAATGCTCGCAATCTAGTTTCAAAACCCCGTTCCCTGAGGCATAAACGAGTCATTGAGATACCTAATTCTTTAAGTCCGCTATGACCACAATGCGCAATATCCGCCAATTTTTGAAGGGTCTCAAGAAATGCAGCAATCGAGGTAATGGTATTTCTAAAATAAAATTATAACCAAGCAAGCAACAGACTTTAACGATAAGCTCATTTTGTTTATTCGCGCCACAAACTCTTCCCATATTACAAGAGTTGATTTTAGGCTAGTCAATTGTTCAGTAAAACTAAGGCTAGGTGGCCCATTCCTAATGTTTTTTTCTGTCTTCATTTTTAATGACAAGTAATAATACAAAATAGAGATAAAAATAATAAAAGGAGCCCTTCACAAAAAAGAAAAATGAGAAGAAGCAGGGTGCAAATGAGAAGAGCAAGCACAAGCAAACCGGGGCATGTCACATAGCGCGCATTATTAAAGGTCACAGTCCATTATATTGAATGAGAAAAACGCAATCATTATTATCTAACTAATAAGTATAAAAATTAAAAAATTATTGATATTAAAAAATATTTATAGAATAATTTTATCATATACGGAACATAAAAACACACTATATATATGTGTTGTTGGCTATCTGAATGTTCTGATTTATCATATCATTTTAAATTAAAATAAAGCAATAATATCTCCACCTAATTATAGTCATTTTGGCCTACAAAATAAGATATTCCTTTTGGCTATCCCTTTATGCTTCTTCACATTGTTTAGTACAGAAAATATCGAATATTATATAGTGCATAATTTTTTATTTCTATGTATGCATGTACGTTTGTATTTATGTGCGTATGTATGTAACTATTTATACGTAAATTTATGGCCGAGGCCGCAGAACTAGGTATGTTCCCGAAGGTCTTTACATTGCCCCTACTAAGTTGCTTGAACGAGCTCATACCAAAACTATAATTCTTTATAATTTGTTCACTCAATAATGGTGAAATATTTTCTCAGGCCTGTAACTATTTTCATAGATTGTTGGTTCGAACTTGCATTTGCAACTTTGTTGGATCGTCAGGGAGATCTTGTAAAACGTACTTAATCCTGTGTCCTCTACCATAGTAGTCGTGATTTCCAGTTTCGGACCATTGACTTGGTACATTCCTAAACGTCTTGCTTGAATTTTCATAAAAATGCACGAATTTAAAGCCATCCCCTTAAACCATTTTCTGTTCAACCGCTGTGGCGTCATCCCTCGTCCTTATTTTTCGTTCTAACTTCTAATGCTGCTTCTTTTACGCTCAACTACACTTTATAATGCCTATCTACCTATTAATACAATTTTGTGTGAGAAGTGATGCCATAGCGGTCGATTGCCTTCATTTACCACTTTGATAAGTTATAACAATGTTCGAACGATGGCCTCTCTCACTGATGATGCTGCCGAAACCTTTGGGATTGTAAAGAGTTAATAGTCCGAAACCGGAAATCACAAATACTATGGCAGAGGACACATAACTAGGAACTTTCCACAAAATCTCCCTGACGCTGCAAAAAGTGGCGAAAACGATTATGAACCAATAATATAAAGCTAAGGGAGACCGCGACCAAAGAGAAGGCTACACCATCTTGCTTTTCCTATGTAAGATCTATTTTCATATATCTTCACAAACGTCATTTTTAAGCATTTTATTTTCAATTCTAATATTTATACACCAAATGTAAACATATTTGACGAATAAAACTTTTTGATGCCTCAATTATTTGGTAATTTTAAACAAAGAGGACAAATCCTTACAATAATATTTACTTAACATTCTGATTTAATCGTTTAATTACATGTAAAAAATAAGATATTCCTTTTAAATAGACTTTAGATTTATATATGAAATTTATTCACTCTCCTTTTCTTAAAGTTGTAACGGGACTGATATATTAATTTTGCCTCATAGATATGAGTTAACCATTCATTTCCATTAAATTTTACATAGCCTTGTCTACAAAAATATTGCTTTTATCCAAAGTCAGCTGCAGTTTCCAAATGGCCTAAGTTCAGAGTCACGCTAACGGTATTGATTCGACCTAGATGAGGTTGATACTGCGATCGAC